AAGTGAAGTGTGTGTTTTATAGTGTTTTAGAATTGAGAGAAAAATAAATAAAAATAAACACATGTAGATATAATTATTATGAGCATTAAATGAAAGTAATAATTATGATTTTAATCAGTTCCAAGAAAAATTATTGCTAATGCGTAGTCTAGGTAGAGTGATGATTAAGAATAACCAAAGGTTACACGCATTAATCACTACATCTAATTAGGTAACACGTTTGATATCCTCAGAATCTGGATAACCAAAAGGTTTCCGTCTGATCAGAGACATTTTTGGCCGAAACATCTTTTGATTACTGAGGTTCTGAAAGAAATACAATACCTTGGTTTAACTCAGAGTCTCATAATCTTCAAAAGGTTTGAACGTTGATCTTGTTCTGACTGGAGCATCTTTGTTTTCCAGAATTAGATCTTCAGGATGAGATGATGATATTTTGCTTTTCCTTTGTTGAGGTTGATCAGAAGGAACAACAATAATATCAGAAGTAGGAGCTTCTGATTCTTTATCTTCTTGTATTTTTTCCTTGGGTTTTGCGAACATTACCTTCACATTTGCAAGCAATAGTTCCAGAGCCAATGATCTTTCCCTTCTGGTTGTCTCTGAAACCAACAACACCTCCAGATTTAAGTTCTAAATCTTGGAACATATGCCTTTCGCCTGTCATGTGTCGCGAGCATCCACTATCCAGATACCATGACTGGTGTTTCAGTGGAGCCATCAATGACATCTGTAACACAGATTATCTGATCCTTAGATACCCACATTCTGGGTCCTTTCTTGTTAGCAGTTTCAGAGGTTTTGACCCCTTTGGAATCTTGTGCAACAGGATAATCTAGTGGAATTTGTGCATGATATTTTGGTTTGGAAGTTTCCTTCTATGTCTGTGGTTGTGTTACTGTGAAATCATAACCTTCTTGTTCTGGACATTTCAATTTTGTGCCAGCAAGCACGAAATGTTCAGAAAGAGGTTTTGGTTTGATGCTCAAAATCTCATGACTTTTTTTTTATGGTCCTGAATATCCCAAGTCTCTACTTCCGTTTATGCTAACTCCATAGATCATTGAAGTCATTTTACTTCTATCTATACTTTTAGCTAGGAAGTGATGAAAAGCTATATCTGATTACTTCATCAGTAACAGATGTACTAGAGATAATCTCTTCTCCTAATCTAGAAACTTTACTTTTCATTTAAATCAGAAAGGTTTTGCTCATCTTTAGTAGAGTTCTCAGAAGTAACTACAAAATTCTTTTTCAGAGTTTTGTGTTTACTTAGAAGAGATTGATACATTTTCATTAGTTCTGATAAACCAATTTCAAGTTCAGAACAAGATAAAGAAGAAAGTACCTCTTTGTCGTCATCAGAGTCTGACTCATCATCAAGTGTCAGTTCGTCCTCTGTTACTGCTTCGCTCGTGCTGGTCTTTGTCATGAATGCTACGTTGACATGTTCTTCATCAAAATCTTTTCTTCTGACTCTGAATCATCCCATGTTGTCATGAGACCCTTCTTGGCTTTGTAAGCCTTCTTAAGTTTCTTGTCTTTCTTGAGCTTTGGGCATTCATTCTTATAATGTCCAGACTCCTTGCATTCATAACAGGTAACTTCTTTTCCATAAGCTTTCTTCTGACCAAATGTAGATTCAGATCTACCGTTTGTTCTTCTTGATCCTTTGAAATTGCTCTGTCTGTGTTTCCATATCTGACTTATCCTTCTGGATATCAGAGATAGTTCATCTTCATCTGAATCTTCTTCAGATCCTTCCGATTCTTCTTCTACTTGAAAAGCCTTGGTCTTTCCGGACTTAGACTTCAAAGCCACATATTTAACTCTTTTTTGAGGTTCATCTTCCTCAAGCTCTATCTCGTGACTTCTTAAAGAACTAATTAGTTCCTCAAGACTAGTGTTGTTTAGATCCTTTGACAACTCAAAGCAGTTACCATTGGTCTCCATTTCTTAGGCTGACTTCTGATAATCTTCTTAACATGATCTGCCGTAGAATATCCTTTATTCAGAACTTTGAGTTCTGCAACAAGAGTCTGAAATCTTGAAAACATCGTTTCCACAAATTCATCATCTTCCATTCTGAAGGCTTCATATTTCTAGATTAGGGTCAGAGCCTTTGTCTCCTTAACTTGAGCGTTGCCTTTACGAGTCATCTGAAGAGAGTAAAAAATAGACTTTGTAGTTTCTCTATCTGTAATCTTATACTCATTATAAGAAATAACACTTAGAAGAATTGTTTTTGCTTTGTAATGATTTATGTGAACCTTCTTCTGAGCGTCTGTCATAGCACTTCTTACAATCTTTTGACCCTTATCATCTACTGGGTGAGTGTAGCCATCAACTACCAAATCCCATAGATCCAAGTCATATGCCAGAAAGTAACTTTCGATTCTATCCTTCCAATAGTCAAACTTCTCTCCATCAAACATAATGGTCTTTATCATTATCATTATCCCAGGTGATTGCACTATAATGGTCTTTATCATTATCCCTATTATCAACAGTGGTAGCAACAGGTGTAGCCATTGGTATTTCACACAGTCTGGATCGGTACTGAACCTTGGGTCTTCAGAACTTCAAGTCTTCAGTTCTTCAGAGTCTTAAGAACTTCGTCTTCAGAATCTTCAGCACTTGGTCTTGAGAATTTTTTCTAGAACCTTGGGTCTTCAGAACTTCAAGTCTTCAGAGTCTTAAGCATTTCGTCTTCAGAATCTTCAGCACTTGCTTGGTCTTGAGAACCTTTTCTAGAACCTTGGGTCTTCAAAACTTCAAGTCTTCAGATTCTTCAGAACATCGTCTTCAAAATCTTCAGTACTTGGTCTTGAGAACCTTTTCTAGAACCTTGGGTCTTCAGAACTTCAAGTCTTCAGAGTGTTAAGAACTTCGTCTTCAGAATCTTTAGCACTTGGTCTTAGAACCTTTTATAGAACCTTGAGTCTTCAGAACTTCAAGTCTTCAGAGTCTTCAGAACTGCGTCTTCAGAATCTTCAGCACTTGGTCTTTGAGAACCCTTTGTTTTTAGAAACATGAGTCTTCAACATCTGGACTTCAGTAGAAACTTCTGTCTTCAGATCTTCTGACTGGTTTCTTTAGAATACATTGTCTTCAGAAACATGAGTCTTCAGCATCTGGACTTCAGAAGAACTTCTGTCTTCAGATCTTCTGACTGGTTTCTTTAGACTTCATATTAGAGCCTACACTTCAGAGTCTTTTGGAGTGTCTTGCTACTGATCATCAGAACTTGTGTAGCGCAAAAGTGGAACTTGTCTCTTCTAATGTCTTGGCCACACCATTCATCAGAAGCAGAACCTGTTTATTAGATACTCACAAATAACACACATTAGAGTATCAAAATCGTTCATACAAACATACTCTTTGTTATCATCAAAACTCAGAAATAAAGTTGCAGAACCAAATCTTGTTCTAACAGGGAGTGTTGATTTGAAATATTTTGTATTTTACGTATTGGTTCACTTCTACAGAAGACCTACATTGGATGAGATATGGACCAAACATGTGTTTATAAATGACGACATTCCTCGTCTTACTAGCCAGTTTTGAAAAGATGCATTAAGCCTAATATTAGAATCTAAGACGGGTTCAGAGCTATCCAAGATCGTTTGGTCGCCTGCCTTCAAGTCGTTGCTATTGGGCCAACTCAAGTCACACTTGAGATGTCTAGCCTTGGGTGTGAGGGGTGTGTTAAGAGTCTCACACTTTGGATGAGACATGACTTGAACGTGTGTGTATATGTGGGGTCAATATTCACCTTACAAGCAAGGTTGTCAAGATCGAGACCTTGCAAAAGATCAGGAGAGGGTAGCAAGATCTTATAACATAAGATCGTACCTAAGATCGGTACCCTACCCAATTGTTTTTGTAAGATCAAGAGGGGTGGCAAGATAGTAAAAAATAAGATCGTAACAGAAACGACAAGATCCTACTAAAACAAAAAAATAATACTTTGAAGTGTTTTTACACAATATTTTGGTAGGCAAGTGTATATGAGGGGAAATGACACTCATATTCTTTAGATGCGTATGATAGTGTTTTTACACTTTATTACCATTTTCCACAGGAAACATTTGTTAGACATTAGGGAGTAGGGACATATTTGGCCCATTACTTGGTTTACTATAAGCCCATTATCTATAACAAACCCTCCAACTGAGATGTTTATTCTCTAAACCTTAAATCTAAAACTTCATCATTTCAAAAGGCGTGCATTCACCGCCACCAAACCTGTGCCTCTGGATCTTGTCATCCTTCTCGGTTTGTAATGGTGGTGGCCGGAAACGGCTGATCATGTTCGGAGCTGTCCAGGATTGCACAAAATCAACGATGTCACGAGTTTATGATTTTGCAGCGATCTTACTCCAGTACACGATTCTACTTAAGATCGGGATTGTTGGGGTGAGTGAGATCGTAAAATATTAAGATTTTAAGATCTAGATCTTGACAATAATGCTTACAAGCCAGTTTTGTAAGAACGAATTACACTCGATATAAAGATATAACACTATGTTCTCGCCGCAACTTTGACTACCACTACAGTTCCAGTTGTCATTTCTGTCTTGCCGTGTGCATTCACCGTGCTTCATCCCGTGCTTCTCTTCTTGCCAACACGTTTCTCTTCTCATCCTGCTGTGATTTAACCAGTTGCGCCTTCTCTGGTTAGACCCATCCCTGACAATCACCAAATCCACCTTCAAAATTCTCCGGCAAGCCCTACCAGTCTTTGCTATTCACATCCAGCCGCGCTACAGTTTTTTGTCTGCAGCTGAAGCCATGTTGTTTTTATTTTCAATAGATCCTCCCATTGTAACAATTAACAAATCATGTCAATCCGCATTTGTTGTATTTATTGTTTAAGCTGTTACAATGCATCTTCTGCAGCTAAACATGAGTAGAAATGGTTTAAATGCGCTGCATGCAACTAAATATTTCTTTTCTAGAATTTGATATAACTCTTTCTGTTGAATGTGCTTAGGTAGAACTCTATGCGGACTATGATCCCAAGATGCTGCTACCTTTCCTTCGCAGCAGTCAACACTATACCCTTGAGAAGGTATGAATCAATAACTAACTTTGCCAATTATATGTTTGCATGCCTGTGAATCAAACTCAGTTTTTTTTTTCAGGCTTATGAAATTTGCATCAAAAGAGACTTAATGAAGGAGCAAGTCTTCATCTTAGGAAGGATGGGAAACGCAAAAAAAGCCCTAGCTGTTATTATAAATAAACTGGGAGATATAGAGGAGGTATTTTATCTTTTTTGATAGTTGTTTTTGGTTTCGACTTACATCTAAATCTTGCATCATAATTTCAGGGATTTTAAAATTAAGTTTGAAGTGTTCATATTTTTTGCACAGGCTGTAGAGTTTGTTACCATGCAGCATGATGATGAACTCTGGGAAGAACTAATCAAGCAATGCCTTCACAAGCCTGAGATGGTATATCAGGATAATTATTAATGTATATTTAGGATGTGGATGAATTACGTAATAATGATAAAACATTATGATGTAATTTGATCCATGTAGCCGACTCCACTTAGTGGGATAATGATAAAACATTACATTTAATACATGGAAAAATGATTTCATTGTAACACATGGAAGAATGATTTCATTGTTTTAATTCAAAATGTGTTTTAATATCTTTACAGAAGTTTGATTTTGTATGTAAAAATTTTACAAATTTGCTTTAGATTACATAAAAAAACAGAAGCAACAGACCCGCCCGGTATTTGCTTATTTTGTATGCCTATTTTTTCTCATCCTGTTTTGATTCTTGTAATTAACAGGTGGGCATACTATTGGAGCACACCGTTGGAAATCTTGACCCCCTCTACATTGTAAATAAGGTGCCCAACGGGTTGGAAATACCCCGGTAGGTGATAAGTTTGATTTAACAGAACATACATTATATTATCAAATCATGTAATATTTTGAATTTTAACTGATCACTTGGGAAATAAATGCCTTTCTCACTATTCTGGTTGTCTCTGCATGTTGTTCACTGCTTTAATTTTAACTGATTACTTGGAAAGTCAAATCATTATTGCTTCAAGTTCCAGATATACTCAGTAACATTATTTTCTTGTCTGACTAATTTTTCTATTGGTATTTCTAATAGGCTTAGGGATCGGCTAGTTAAAATTATTACTGATTACAGGACGGAAACATCACTTAGACATGGATGCAATGATATCCTTAAGGTGCTTTATTCCCCATCCTTCTCACCTTTACATTGTAGAAATGAAAATTCTTTGATCTCAATAATTTGATAGAATAAAGCATCTTAACTGATTTTCTGTTTAAAATAGGCGGACTGTGTCAATCTTTTAGTTAAGTATCACAAAGAGGCAAAGCATGGAATTTCGTTAGGTAATGAAGGAGATGAGCCAAGAGTTAATACGAGTGATCATCGTGCCTCTCAGGCATTTGAGAAATCCTTGAGAACCATGGAGATGAAGTCGAAGACTAGGGGAGGTGGAAGATGTTGTATATGTTTTGACCCATTTTCTATACAGAATGTATCAGTCATTGTTTTCTTTTGCTGTCATGGTTATCACACAACTTGTCTCACGGATTCTTACTACACTAATAGTATCACAAACGAGAGTGAAGCCACTTCCCATGAGGCAGTAACGTATGATGATTACAATGGCTACACGGATGATGCCAGTGATGAAAATGAAGAAGAAACCAAGTCGGATGGTCCTCGAATGCGTTGTATTTTGTGTACTACTGCTGCTGGTTGAATGTGTTTGTGTGTCCCCACGACTTGTGTTAGCATTGTTGATATTTTTGCCTATAGTTCCATATGCACATGTGGTTTCATTTGGCCTTAATTTTTTGTATAAATATAATCAGTTTTCTTTTTGGTTTCTGTATGTTGTCTTGGATTGGGGCAGGTTCCCCTTTTTACTTGAAATACCAGGTTCATTTCAAATTTCAGGAGATGATAAAGTGTGACATGTCATAGCAACACACATAGTAGTGTTGTTAAAACCAAACTAGCTGGTCGGTTCAACTGAGAACTACACCCTCGGCCCTTCGATCATCATAACAATTCAGTCTGAGTGTAATTATTGAGATCAAAGAATTTCCGGATGTTATACATTTATGTATTCTTTATATGTTATTCATTATTTATATTATAGAGTTGTATGGATAGAGTATGCTCTTATGATATGTTACAGTTTTTACATGATATTCAAATTTTTACTCATGGGAAAGTTGTTCAGATTGTGTAATTTCAGTTTGTCTATCAAATCCTATGTAAACTCGTTCATTCTCTCATGTTAAAGTTTGCAATATGTTATCTTGAGCTTATATCTAGGCCAAATTAATATCAGCATTGTTTATTTTCCTCTTGTACATTATCTATTATCATTATTGTACTATGGTGGTGGTGGTGTTCATGATCTATTTCTTAGTATTCTATTGTCAGAAATACGTTTGTTGAGAACTCACTTTTAATTGCTATGCTTTGTTGGAGTTTATGGAAGAGTAAAATATCAAATTGTGGGATGTAGTTGAGCCTCACGCTGATTGTCTCTACTGCTCAAATAGTTTATTATTTTTAAAATTGTAATCACTAATGAAATTAGTCTATTATTTTTTTGGTCAAATAGTTTAGTGATTGTAATTCACTTTTTAAAAGTGAATAACTGAGATGTTACGGAATCTCTATAATTGAGATGTTTTTGTATAACTATTAATTTAGTCTACTTAATGAGACTATTACTCCTCTTGTCTCATAGAATGTTTGCACTGTCTCAAAATAAATGTCTCTTTAGAATACTAAATAAATGTCTTTTTAGAATATTAATATAATATTTATTATTTTTTTTCCACTATTATATTTCTATTTATTAGCTTTCATGTTTTTTAAGTACTCCATTAATTATAATAAAAAAAAATATTTTAATAAATGATATTAATTTTATCATTAAAATCAATACATTTAATTATTTTTTTAAGAATCGCGCAGAGTTTAAATGAGATATTTTTTATGAGACAGAGGGAGTAGTATGTGTTCTGGACTGGGCCCGACTGACCCAATAGCATTGATAAGGTCTAATCCAAACGGACTTGCTGGGGGCCACGCCGACCAAAGGATCACAGTCGTGCCCGACGTGTTCCCTGGGGCTACTTGCTCGACCTCCTACTGTCCAGCTCGACCTCACCTCGAGCACCCCTCTTAGGGGAGACTCAGTCCACTGCACTCTCAACGGGACTCCGAAAAGACCGCGTCTATGTCCGCCCGCACTTCACGCAGAACATCCAGGGAGGGGACCACGTGCGGGTCCCCACTACGCACGTAGAACCTGGCAGTTCCTCCATTGGGCCAAACCTGCCCGGCCCAATGAAGGAACCTTGGCCCAGCGCTGGGGGCTATAAATACCCTCTGTTTCCAGAGGGTCAGGTATTCATCATTCTACCCATACTCTTACTATTGCCTGCTCGTGCTCTTACTTACTTCAGCATCGGAGTGTCTTGCAGGTACCCCCCACCTCGTTCAAACTTTCAGCTCGGAGTCAGCCGTGACGGTCCAAGTCTGATCAGGTTAGATCAGTGGCGCCGTCTGTGGGAAACTAGCTTCCCCGTCTTGCAAACTCAAAGACCAAAGCTCAAATTCAACTACCTGTCATGGCTGATCCAGCTCGCGATGAGCAGAACGTCCGTGTCGCCGACACCAATAACGGTACGGCGGACAAAAACGGACATCTTGACAACGCCGGCAATCCCGGCCACAACTCCATTCCTGCAACAACCGCCCCCGGAACTTCCTCCTACAGGGACGAGGCTACTGCATCATCCTCCTCGCTCCCACCACCACTCGAGGACGACCCGACGGCTCTCGCCCACTACAGAGCCGCCCGGTTCCAGGAGGTCCCCGTCCCCGCCGGGGCGGATGCCACAACACAAGCGCTGTTCGCAACAATTAATCAAACGAACTATCTCATCTTCGCCCAAGGAGAGAGATTAAAGGCGCTTGAAGACGAGCGAAGACCCCCGAGGAGGCATCGGAGACCACACACTCCCCCTCCTCGAGTGACTGAAGCTCGACACTCCTCTCCCCCGCGGAGACACTACAGGGAGACCTCTCGAAGCCCATCTCCCCTGTTAAAATAGAGACGGCCTTACCTGGAGAGGCAGCCCGTCATTCAGGCCGGAGAGCCCAGTCGCGACCCGGCGGTACTAGAAAGAAGGCACTCCGGAGATGGAGCATCCCGCTCGAGAGAAACTCAGCACGATCTGGACCGTCGTGCCAGACAATATTACAGGTCCCCATCTCTGTCTCCGGAGAGAAGCGACGAGGACGACCCCCGCGGTCCCCTGTCGCAGGCTATTATAGAGGCACCCATTCCCCCGGGCATGGAGAAGCCCCCACACTTGAAGGAGTACGATGGAGTCGCGGACCCGTCGACCACATAGACGGGTTCGAGGCTATGCTCCACTATCACAATGTCGGGGCCCCCATCAAGTGCCGTCTATTCCCCACGACTCTCAAGAAGGCGGCAATGGACTGGTACAAAGGACTCGCCCCGGGCTCAATCACGTCGTGGCGGAACCTGAAGAACCAGTTCATCAGTTCCTTCACAGCTTCTCGGCACCATCCGAAGACCGAGGCGGCCCTCGAGGCCATCATCCAAAGACAGGATGAAACCTTGAGGGAATTCATCAACCGCTTCAACCGGGAAGCAATACAGGTCCCCTGCGCGGACCATATGAAAAGATACTTGCTGGAAAGAGGGCTCCTCCTCGGCACAGAATTCAGAAAGGCCGTGGGTATCGAGCCACCTCGGACATTTGATGCCCTCCTCGAAAAGGCCCGAGCATACATGGACTATGAGGAGAGGGAGGCGGCCAACAGAGCCCGGGATTCCAGGACTCGTGGTCCCAAAAACAGCAGCTCGCGCCAAGAGGATCCTCCTCGACGAACCGGGGAGAAAAGGAAAGAAGACAGACCCCGAGAAGTCCGGGAACAAAGAGGACCTTCGGGGCGTTTCACCGAGTACACTCCACTCACGGCTTCCCGCGAGCGCATTCTGGCGGAGTGTGCCAGCACGGATTTCAAGGACGGCGGTGTCAAACGTCCCCGACCTGCTCCCGCCAAGCCCGGAGCAGACAAAAATAAATACTATCAGTACCATAGGAGCCATGGTCACCTGACTGAGGATTGCGTCCACCTCAAGGACGCCATTGAAACCCTCATCAAGGGAGGGACGCTCGCACAGTACCGGCGAAGCGACGCTCCCCGTCGTGACGCCCAAGAAACCAGGGAGCCAGAAGAAGACGCCCGACCATCTGACGAGTCGGCTCCCATCCAAACTGCCTTCTCTGTGACCAGGCCCAAGGATTTCGACTTCCCCGAGCACCTGCAAGAGCCACTTACAACGCACAGCAGGTGGGAATACTTCCCCTCCGCCCTGGTCATCAACGGCGGCGGGTTCAACGACTTGACCATCAATTCAGCCAAAAGGAAGCTGGACGAACTGGTCGACGCGGCTCCCCCGCAAACAGTGACGTTCGAAAGGGAAGGGCAGGTCGGAGCCCATTACCTTCTACCTGGAAGAACTCCCCGGCGGAGCCCCGAACGCGGTCATCCCCTTACTGATAAGGGCAAGAATGGCCAATTTTGATGTACATCGCATCCTGGTCGACGAAGGGAGTTCCGTCGACGTCATGTACAGCCAACTGTCCCGGACCCTTCAGTTGGACGACTCGCATCTTTCGCCATATGTGGGTTCGAACTTACAAGGCTTCAACGGCTCAACATCCAAACCCTGGGGATATGTCGAGCTTCTGGTTACGTTCGGGGAAGGGACGGCTACAAGACAAGTCAAAGTACGCTTCCTTGTCATCGACTGCCCGTCTCTATACAACTGCATCTTGGGGAGACCGACACTAGCAGAGCTGACGGCGGTACCCTCGACCGTCCACCTGAAGATGAAGTTCTACACCAAGAGGGCACGGGTAGCCACTATCCAAGGAGACCTAGCCGCTGCCCGCAGGTGCTTCAACGCCGCTTCTAAGGGACGTGATACCGTCGACATAGGGACCAGGCCCGCCAAAAGGACAAAACAGGAGCCCGACAGGAAAGCATCCCCCGAGGAAGAAGTCCAGAAAGCTCCGCCAAAAGTCGATTCCATAGCTCTGGACACCCGCTTCGACCAGGACGAGCCATCCAGCAGCGAGCAAATCCCACTCCGACCAATACCGGACGGGGATTTTGAACTCGTTCCCCTCGGCACAAACCCGACCAAAGGAGTGAAGATTGGAAAAGACCTCCCCGACTTGGCCAGGAAGCAAATCAAGGTCTGTCTGCGCGAGAATGCTGATCTGTTCGCCTGGAGCGCCACAGAGATGCCCGAACTCGACCCTGAGGTCGCCTGTCACCACCTCGCCATTGATTCAGCCGCTAGGGCCGTAGTACAACGTAGGCGTAGGCAGTCTCCAGAAAAAACGGAGGCTGTTGAAAAAGCTGTAAAAGACCTCCTAGAGGCAAATTTTATTTATGAAGCCCGGTATTCCACCTGGCTGTCAAATGTTGTACTCGTGAAAAAGAATAATGGAAAATGGAGAATGTGCGTTGATTATACCGATCTCAACCGGGCTTGCCCGAAAGATGCTTTTCCATTGCCTAACATAGATATGCTGGTCGACAACTCGGCCGGCTACAAAACTTTGTCGTTCATGGACGCCTACTCGGGCTATAACCAAATACCGATGGCCCTGGGCGACAAACACT